CCCTGCAACCAGGGCAGCTCCAAGGTGGCCCATCCATCCATCCATCCATCCATCCATCCATCCATCCATCCATCCATCCATCCATCCATCCTTCCCCCCCCGCCCTTCATTTCTCTTCCTCCCTCCCTCCCTTTCTCTTTCTTCCTTCCTTCCTTTCCTCCCTCCCCCTTCCGCCTTCCTTCCCTCCCTTCTGCCCTTCCTTTCTCTTCCTCTGTCCCTCCCTTCCTCCCTGCCTTCCTCTTTCCTTCCTTCCTATCTTTTGCCTCTCCTTCCTTCCTTCCCTCCCTCCCTCCCTCCCCTTCCTCCTTCCTTCCCTCCCTCCTACCCTTCCTTTTACTTCTTCGGTCCCTCCCTTCCTCCCTACCTTTCTCTTTCCTTCCTAGCTTTTCCCTCCCCTTCATTCCTTAGTTCCTTCGTTCATTCCTTCCTTCTTTCCCTCCCTCCCTTCCTTCCTCCCTTTCTCTTTCCTTCCTATCTTTTCCCTCCCCCTTTGTTCATTCGTTCCTTCCTTCCCTCCCACCCTTCCTTCCTCTTTCCTTTCTCTCTTTTCCCTCCCTTCCTTCCTCCCTCCCTTCCTAGGAGACACTGGCACCCAGCCTGTGCTGTTTCTTGCTGTTCTGGCCACTACCTACCCTGGAATGGGCTCTGTGGGTATCTGTTTCACCCTAGCCCTGTGATGTCCTCAGGGCTACTCTGAAGCACCCTGCTCCCGTTTGGCTATGCCCCATCCTAGAAGGTAATGACCAGTGGCCCAGAAAGCTCCGGTGATTCTATTGGGCGCCCTGTCTGGGATGTTTGGATTGGGCCAAGCATTAATATCTCCAGTGACTTGTGAGGACAACACCAGCACATCTCCCGCTTTACAGGTGGGGAAACTGAGGCTCAGAGAGGTGCAGGAACTTAGCAAGATCACCAAGGACTGGTGGCCTGAGCCGCCAGCCCCTCCACCTTCTCTAGGACCCCCCCCCCAGCCCACCCCAAGCCCTGGGCACCTTCTCCTTGCGCAGCTTCCTCTGTTCCCCCACCAGGGCGGCGATGCTGTCCCGGGCAGCGGCCACCTCAGGCGGCTCCAGGGTGTCTGGCTGGTCGTCACCTGTGTCCGAGTCCTTCTCACTGTCATCCTTCGAGTAGGACTCCTTCCTCCGCTCCTCCCGCCACTTGAGGGCCCTGCGTGACTTCTCATGCTCCCAGCTGTCGGGGCCCCACCCCGGGGAGACAGGAGACGAGGGCTTCAGGCCCCAGGAAAGGGCAGGGCATCACCCAGGTCCCCAGCAACTCCATCCCCAATCCCTGCAGGCCGGGAGGGTCCCGGCAGGGGTGCACACCCAGCGATGGTGAGCAGGTGGCAGGAAGTGTCGATCTGGACCTCCATGCCATGGTTCTCCAGCTCCAGCAGGCGCCGGCGCACATCCATCTGTTCTTGGAAGGTGCTGATGAGCTGCTCGCGGACCTGCTCCAGCTCGGCCTGCTCTCCCTGCCGGCTGTGCAGCTGAACCTCGGCTGTGGAGGGCGGAAGGGCAGCAGTGGGGGCCGGCTCAAGCCCACTGAGATCCTCTCCCAACTTTCTTTCCAAGCCAGCCACGACTCCCAACTGCCTTTCCAGCCACTTCCTCCAGGAAGACTCCTAGATTACGCTCTCTTCCCATGCCCCACTCCCACAGTGTAGCCTAGGGCTATACACAAAGTTGATGCTCAGTTCCTCTGTGTGAACGGGGCCACCATGAACTCACAACTATAAAAAGCTGCCCCCACATCATAGCAGAATCCACCTATCCGAGGAGTTGGGCCTCCAGTCTTACAGGCTCCCTCACTCGTGTGGGCTAGCCTCTGCCTTGTTTTTTGTGGTTTTTTGGTCGTGGGTCTTGAACTGTGGGCCTGGGCATTGTCCCTCAGCTCTTCAGCTCAAGGCTAGCGCTGTGTCACTTGAGCCACAGCACCACTTCCAGTTTTCTGGTGGTTCATTGGAGATAAGAATCTCATGGTCTTTCCTGCCCCTGGCCTGCTTTGAACCATGATTCTCAGATCTCAGCCTCCTGAATAGCTAGGATTACAGGCATGAGACTCCGGCACCCAGCAACCTCTCCCTTTAGGAAGCAAGGCACAGAGCTTGAAGGCTGGCTCAGGGAAGTTCAATGAGGGGAAGCAGCTCCAGGAGGGGGCGCTGCGGAGACAGGCTCCCACAGAACGGCTCCCGTGCGCACCTCGAGCATGCTGGCTGTCAGCCAGCTCCAGCCGCCCTCGGGCTTGGCCCCGTCCCGCCTGCTGGGCCATCTTGCACTTGAGCCTCTGGATCTCGCCCCGCAGGTCGGCGATGATGCTGGTGTACTGGGCGATGTGGTAGGAGACGTTGAGCAGGTTCTGCTTCACCTGCGGGGAGCACGGGATGGGGGAGCAAGGGGGGACAGCTCTGCCTCCACCTGCTCACCTGCTAAACCTTCCTGTCCTTCCCCCCACCCCACCCCCAGCCTTCCTGGGTGACAGTAGCAGCATTTGTGGACCCAAACCCATGGCCTGCTGTCACATGACATGGCTCAGCTAGATTGGATCTTCCTGAAGTGCTGCTTCCCCTCCAGTGGGAGTGGGGGAGAGGGAGGGGCACCAGTTCCTCCATCTCCTTCCCCAGCTGGTCTCAGCAGCTGCTATTGGCATGTACTGGCCACTGACAATGATCTGAACTAATAAATGAACTACTCAGAAGCGAGGCTCCCTTTCCACCGTCCTCCGCCCCCCTCCCCCAAAGCTCTGGAGGTAGCAACTTCAAGCATCCAGGGCACTCTTGGGCAGATGCTACTTGCTTAGCCATCCCCCTCTACCAACACAGGAGCCCAGGCAGGTGCACCAGGCAGCAGGGGCCCCGCACATTCTACCAGAGGACGTGAACTTGAAAACCAGCCAGGCCCAGCGCCCGTCTCTGCTCCATCATGTGTTGGGCAGTTACTCACAGTCTGAATCCGCACTGTCCTCTGTTGTCATGGCAAGGATGCGAATATCTGGTGTGTGTGTGGGGTGTGTGTATGGGGTGTGTGGGGGGGGTGTGTGTGGGGTGTGTATGTGTGTGTGTGTGTGTGTATGCTGGTACTGGCACAGGGCCTGGGCCCTGTCCCCTAGCTTTTTTGCTCAAAGTTGGTGCTCTACCATTTGAGCCACAACTCCACTTTGCCTTTTGGTTTTTGTTGTGATTAATTGGTGATAAGAGTCTCACAGACTTTCCTGCCTGGGCTGGCTTTGAAGCCCAATCCTCAGAGCTCAGCCTCCTGAGTAGCTAGGACTACAGGAGGTCAGCTACCAGCACCTGGCCCTGGTTTGGGGCTGGGAGGAGACCCATGTATCAGATAGCTGAGAGTTGGGGTTCAGGAAAGCGCCCCCTCACCCCATGGGTGACACATATACCTAGGTGGTGTGACCACCTAGAGGCCTAGAGTCCAGAATTAGCCTCTGAAGAGGAAGAAGAAGGTAGGGGGACTGGGGAATGAGAAGAGGGACCTGGGAGCCAGCGAAGGACTTCCGGGTTGATAAGCAGGTGCTGAAGGTGCCCGGAAAGGCCTTGGTGCAGTGGTGGCTGGTTCCACCGAGAGTGGAGAAGGTGGTAGGGATCAGTCCAAGTGGTTCAAATCGTGGTCCAGGGGTGTGTTCTGGGGGGGGCAGTCTAGGGACCCTCACCCTGGTCTTAATGTTCTTGGCCCGGCCAGCATAGGTCAGGGTGTTCCGAGACTCCTCGAAGGCGGTGCTGGCTGGGCTGATATGGGCGATCATCACCGTGCGGCTGTTCCCCCCCAAGGAGTCCTGGATGGAGGTGGCAGGGGGTGTGGTCAGTGGAGGCCCCTCCCCCAGAGCCTCCTCCTGCCAGGCTGTATGTGTGCCCTCTCCCCATCCCCCTCCCTTCTCCTTTTTCCCTCCCAGCTTCCATACAAAAAGCCTGGCTGCTGAGCATAATGGGGTGTAGCTGGGAGACTCTACTGCTTCTTCGCCACTAACCCTCAGCCTTTTTTTTTTTTTCTTTTTTGCCAGTCCTGGGGCTTGAACTCAGGGCCTGAGCACTGTCCCTGAGCTTCTTTTGCTCAAGGCTAGTGCTCTTCCACTTGAGCCACTTCTGGCCTTTTCTGTGTATGTGGTACTGAGGAATTGAACCCAGGATTTCATGCATGCTAGGCAAGCACTCTACCACTAAGCCATATTCCCAGCCCCCTCAACCTTCTTGAATCCCCACTTACCTCCCTGGCTTGTGGGTATAGTTGTGGTGGCAAGCTGACAGAAGGGTCTGTGGGGACCATATACCTATTTCCAGCACTGACTAGTACCAACTCTTGGGGAAAATTCCTTGGCCTTTCCAGGCCTCAATTTCCCCAGCAGCACAGGTAACTCTCCCTAACTCACAAAGCCACAGACAAGACTAAAGAGTTTGTAGGACCAGGAGCTGGTGGTACACGCCTGTAATCTTAGCTACTCAGGAGGTTCAAAGCCAGCCTGGACAGAAACATTTGTAAGATTCTTTTTTTGGGTCCGGTCGTGGGGCCTGAACTCTGGGCCTGGGCGCTGTCCCTCAGCTCTTCAGCTCAAGGCTAGCGCTCTACCACTTGAGCCATAGCACCACTTCCGGCTTTTTTCTTTTTGCTTATGTGGTGCTGAGGAATTGAACCCAGGGCCTCATGCATGCAAGGCAAGCGCTCTACCACTGAGCCACCTTCCCAGCCCAACATTTGTAAGATTCTTATTTCCAGTTAACCTGAAAAGATGAGGCTGGGAATGTAGCTTTGTGGTAGAGTGCTTGCCTAGCATGCATGAAGCCCTGGGTTCAATTCCTCAGTACCACATACACAGAAAAAGCTGGAAGTGGCTCAAGTGGTAGAGTGCTAACCTTGAGCAAAAGAAGCTCAGGGACAGCGTCCAGGCCCTGAGTTCAAGCCCCAGGGCTGGCAAATAAATAAATAAATAAAAGGCAGAAATAGCTCTGTGGCTTGAGTGGTAGAGTGCCAGCTCTGAGTGAAAGGTCCAAATGGGAGTGTGAGGCCTTAAGTTCAAGTCCCAGCACAAAGGTAAACATAAAAGGTTTGTGGGGGTGAAGGCAGGAACAGAGCTCAGGGGACCCTGGTACCTTCAGGAGCCGGGTGAGCTTGCTGTCGCGGTAGTTGATGTACTTGTTGCTGCCCTTGTCGCTCAGCGCATTGATGCAGTTGCCCAACGCGAGCAGGGAGCGGTTGATGTGAGCTCCCTCCTTCATGCGCTGTCCCCGGTTCTGGGTCTGAGGGTGGGGGGGGGGAGGGGGAGGTAGAGGACAAAGCTGTGGCCTTGTGAGGGCCCAAGGCGGAGGCTCCACCCATCAGCCACCCATCTGGAAATGTAGGGAGCACGGGTCACCAGATGGCTTGGTCCTGCCCCCTCCTCCTAGGGGTGCAGGAGGAAAGGTATGACCAGGAAACTTCTAGACTGAGGACTCTGGAGAATGCCGAGCCAAGCTGGTTCTGTCCCCTTGGGGCAGGCACTATGGCAGTGGCCAGACTTGCCCCATAGCGTCCTGAATGGCAGGCCACAGATGGCCTCCTGGGCCACTTAGTGTGACCCCAGGCCTTAAAAGGCACCAGGAGCGTCACAGCGCTAGGAGGGCCGTGTGTGCACGCACACACGCACGGTGCGTGCTGCAGGGGCGGGCTCCTCTCCTCATGGCACAGGGGAGCCATTGCTGCCCATCCCGGCAGAGCTGCCATTAGACAGCTGCAGTTACCAGAGGGTACCCCTTCCTCCAGGCTGCTCCCCATGTCCCCTTAGGGAGGCCTGGAGGCTTTTCTGGAACTCAGGGATGAATTTGTGAACACCCACCTTGTTGCAATCCAGCCTTGTGTGTTCAGACAAGGCTGTGAGCCTGTTTCTTTCTTTCTTTCCTTCCTTCCTTCCTCCTTCCTTCTTCCCTCCCTCCCTCCCTCTCTCTTCCTTCCTTCCTTCCTCTCTCTCTTTCTTTCCTTCCTTCCTTCTTTCTTCCTTCCTTCTTTCTTTCCCCGCCAGTCCTGGGGTTTGAACTCAGGGCCTGGGCACTGTCCCTAAGCTTCTTCTTCTTCTTTTTTTTTTTTTGTCAGTCGTGGGGCTTGAACTCTGGGCTTGGGCACTGTCCCTCAGCTCTTCAGCTCAAGGTGAGCTCTCTACCACTTGAGCCACAGCACCACTTCCAGTTTTCTAATGGTTTATTGGAGATAAGAGTCTCACGGACTTTCCTGCCTGCCTGGGCTGGCTTTGAATGGAAATGCTCAGATCTCAGCCTCCTGAGTAGCTAGGATTACAGGCCTGAGCCACTAGTGCCTGGCTTCCCTAAGCTTTTTTTGCTCAAGGCTAGTGCTCTGTCACTTGAGCCATAGCTCTACTTCTGGCTTTTTTTGTACTTCAGTGGAGATAAGTCTCATGCTTTCCTGCCCAGGCTAGCTTTGAACTGTGATTCTCAGATCTCAGCCTCCTGAGTGGCCATAATTCCAGGTGTGAGCCACCAATGATGCCTGGCTTTTCTCTCTTCTCTTGGCTTCAGTATTGCTATGGTGACATCACCCAGCACCCCTGCCCAGGTGACCCTGACACCTCAAGCTGTCCTGCCAGAGGGGCTGGGCCACTGAGTCAGGCAAGCCAACTTGGCTGAGTGATAAGGACAGCGACATTGGGTGACATAAGTGATGTCCTTGATGTGCTAGGCCCTCTTCCAGGTCCCTCCATGTTCTGCTGAGTCAGGTGTCAGGTGCTTGTTTTTGTTCTTTGTCATCCTACCTCACCCCTGCCCCACCCCAACAATAGTCCTTTGGCTCTTCAGGTGGCCTGGGCCCATCCTGAACTTTCTGGCACTTTCTTCAGTCCTTCACCCTGAGGGTCCCACTCCTCTGTCTACTTCCCTGGGGTGCTCTGGACTGCACCCCCCCACCATCCAGATAGCCTCTTCTCCAGACTCCAAGAGCCGGCCTCACCTGGGAGGCTCGCTCGGAGCCCGCCAGGTCAATCATGAAGAGCCGGCCCTGTCTCACTTCCTGCAGGATGTTCTTGACGCGGCTGCGCTGGCGCACGGCCACCTGCAGCACGGCGTGGGAGCGGGAGGACGTCTGGTTGGCGGCCGTGGGCTCCTGGGTCCTCTGCCGGTTCCCCTTCATCAGCAGCTGCATGATCTGGGAGGAAGGGAGCGAAGGAGGGAATGCGAGAGAGGCAGTTCCCAGCAGAGCCCCTGAGATGCCTGCAGAGAGGAGGCCTGGCGGGGGAGGTCCTGCCTCTGAGAGGCTGTGTGAGGCCGTGTGACTCCCCAGGATGGGGTGGTTGGGACCCGATGGCGGAGGAGAGTGAGGGTGCATCTTGCTACCACTCAACACTCTGTGTGGGGCCCAGCCCAGCTCCATCTCCGCTCTCCTGCCCTGTGGTCTCTCGGGCACTTTCCTCGTGGCCCCGGTCTGGCCACACGAGACTCACCTCTTTGGCGTTGATGGTGGACACCTCTGTGATTCCAGCCACCTGGATCACACCTTTGGAGTCCTCCCTCAGCTCCAGGTACCCCAGGGAGGGGTTCAGCAAGTCCCGGATCATCTCATTATAGATCTGGTGGGACAGGTGAGGAAGAGACCAGAGGAGGGGACAGGAAACTCCCACTTTCTGGCCCCAGGCTCCTGTGAGTCTCTGGCCTGGGAAGTTTCCCTGCCTTCCTATGGTGAACTGAATGTAGGTGATTCAGCACCCACAGGCAGCTGGGTCTCAGCACCAACCAACATTGCAGGCGGACTCAGAGCCAAGCAGGACTGCATGGACCTGACCAAGGGCCAGGCTATCCTAGTAGATCAGGGAGCCCTGCTTGTTGCCAGGCAACCATCAGCCACCTCTGGGTACTGTCCAACAAGGTGAGCCTCGCTGGCCGATTCTACACCTGCTGGCAGCTACCTTCACCACCCCTCCTGAGCTGTCACCAGGAGAAGCTGCCAGATGGAGGCCAGCCTCCTGGTGCAGTGGTGAGGAAGGGAACAGTCAGGGAGTATGTCTGAACTCTGTTCACTGACAAGGCTGCTGGGGAGTGTGGCACAATGGGGGTAGGCCTGGTTTTGGAGTCACAGGGTCCCGAGTTCGAATCCCACCCCCTCCCACTGATTGTGAATAAGTTACCTCTTTGGTCCTCAAGTTTTATAAGGTGGAGCTAATAATACAGAGGTGGGAGACCCGCCGTGATGGGCACCCCAGGAAACTGCTGGTCACTGGCTCTAGGAGGTGGGGCAGCTTGGTCCTGTGTGTCTTTTACCCAAGTCTGGGGGTACTCACCTCTAAGTAGGACATAGACACCTCATATTCCATGTCGTTGCTGGTTTCCTCAATAGCACGGAAGAGGTCGTTGAGCGTCCGGACATAGATACCAGGCTCGTGATCAGTACCCAGCATCGTGTAGGTTTTCCCACAGCCTGGGCAGAGCAGGGACCAGGGGTGAGACCTCACTGAGCAGAGACAATTTGTCAGCCTGGTCTGTGTTTGAGCGAGGCCCTCCCTGATGGCCAGGGAGGTGAAGGGGTGAAGGCAGGGTGGGGGGGGGAGGAAGGATGACAGCCCTGGCTGAAGATGGGGTCTCTGGAATGGAGGGCCCTAGGTGGGGTTGGACGCGTCCTATCCTGATTGCTGCCCTAGCCAGGCTTGGGCGGTCTCTGCAGGGGTGGGGGGCGAGGGGGCTCGCCTCCCCAGGGGCATGCTCACGCCCCTCCCACACCTGTAGGGCCATAGGCAAACACTGTGGCGTTGTAGCCGGAAATGATGCCATCGATGAGGCTCTTGGTGGTGGCCTGATACACCATCTCCTGCAAAGGACAAGAAACCTTGTCAGGGGCCTGGGACCCAGACAGGGCACAGCACAGATGCTCCCGGGGTATGTGGGAGGGATGAGGGGGTGGGAAGGGGAGGAGGGGATGTCTCTGCTTACACCTTGGGGCGGTGGGGGGTGGGGGGAGGAGGAATGCCAGCCTGCAGCAGAGCTCAGGACACCTGAGCTGGCTCCTTCCACAGCTGGCTCCCAGCCCCTGGCTCTGAGGACACAGAATATCTGCTCCCAGGAGGAACATCCGGAAGATAGTGAGATGGGGTCCCTAGGAGGGTGTAGGGGTCCCTAGGAGGGTGTCGGCTTCCTGGAGACAATCCTCCATCTGCCCAGCCTGCAACAGATGGCCTTCGGCTCCCTCCTCCTGCTCCCCCTGCCCCACCCCATGTAGCCCAACCGTGGGGGGTTCGAAGAGACCACCTGTGCAGGGTGGGTGCGGGTGTTCACCCAAGCATGCTCGTGGAAGGCCAGGTGTGCAGCGCGCGGGTGCCTGCGTCAGTGTGCACTGAGCAAGTGTGTAGGTGTGCAGGCACGGAGGTTAGTGTCTATCATGTGCATATATGGACAGATGAACATCACACAGGTGTGTACGGACATTCACAGATGGGGAAAGCTCCAGAAGGTGGACCCTTGCGCAAGTGGGTAGGACACGTGAGGGTCACGGACTAAGTCCCCTGAGGGCCCCTCTCAAGTGGTGAGGGGTGGGAAGGGGCTCCGGTGCACCCTCACCTGGGTGGCGGTGAAGTCGAAGGCCACGTCGAACAGGTAAGACTTCTCCCTGGAGCGGTGCGCCCGCAGGATGTCGTCGGGGTCCTCCAAGGGGTCCATGAGAACCACCATCTGCAAAGGGCCCAGCGGGGAGGCCGCGGTCACCCCCGCCCCAGATCCATTTGACCCCCTCCCCCCCCACCTTGCAAGATGGGCACCATCCCAGAGAAGCAGGGAGCGCCCCGGGGGTGCCCCACCCCACAGCAGGTCCCTGATTCAGACCTGATCCCCTCACTGCAGCCGCACAGAGCCTGAGACAGCATGTGAACACAGGCTAAGTGCTCAAGCCCCACCCCCGCCCCACTTTAGGGCGATGTGAAGAGGAAGGTGGGGGAGGGAAGGGGTGAAGGAGATTACCCCTCCCCTCCTCCCTGATTGTGCCACGAAATCTAGAGAGGTAACAATGAAAACAACACCAAAATTCTACAAGAAAAGTCAAGCCAGTGGCTCACGCCTGTATTCCTAGCTACTTAGGAGGCTGAGATCTGAGGATCCCAATTGGGAGCAGGAAAGTCCCAAAGACTCTTTATCTCCAATGAACCACCAAAAAGCCAGAAGTCGAGGGCTGGGAAGGTGGCTCAGTGGTAGAGCGCTTGCCTTGCATGCTCGAGGCTCTGGGTTCGATTCCTCAGCACCACATAAGCAAAAAGAAAAAAGCCGGAAGTGGCGCTGTGGCTCAAGTGGTAGAGTGCTAGCCTTGAGCTGAAGAGCTGAAGGACAGCGCCCAAGCCCAGAGTTCAGGCCCCACGACCGGACCCAAAAAAAAAAAAAAGCCAGAAGTCGAGCTGTGGCTCAAGTGATAGAGTGTCAGCCTTGAGTGAACAGAGCTAAAGAACAGTATCCTGAGTTCAAGCATGCAAGCACACACATTCAAAATTGGGGACCCCATCCTTGCCAAGCAAGTAAAGGGCTCATCTTGAGTCCCCCACCCTACGGCACCATGCAGGTGCCCCTATGGGTTGGCTGGCACCTCTATGCACGGCCCTGTGCCCTGTGAACAACACTGGGGCTCCCTGGTGCCCTGGCTCTGCCAGACAGCCAGGGGAGTTAAACCACCCAGTGCTCTCCGCCTAATGAGGCAGCACCTGTTCCCCAGGCCCAGGGGAGCTGCACAGATGGATGGAGGGCCAGACAGTGGCTTCAGTCAGCATGGACGCCTCATAGGCCCTCTGCTACTAAGGGGAGAAGAGGCACGGAGGGAGGGCAGAGAGGTGCCCTCCCCACCCCAGGAATTCGAGCAACAGCTAATCTTACACCATCCTTTAACTTGAAATCATGCTGATTACTCTCAGTTGAGGAAATCATAGCGCAAAGCATCCTTGGTAGGAAATGGCAGCCAGGGCCCTGGCAGGCCAGCTCTTGGGTTGGTCTGTCCTCTGAGCATCTTTCCACCCCTCCCTGCCTCCGCTGCTTCCACAGAGAGCTGTGTGGGTTGGGGGTCCCTCAACCATCAGCATAATCTGACTGAGACCCACACATGGCTCATGATGCTCGCTGGGCCCTGGACAACTATCAAAAGATGTCAACTGAGTCCTAACACAGGCAAGGCTTGGAGGGGAGACAGACCTATTTTAGTACCACCCTGAGGGGTCAGAGACAGTGGCTGGATGAGCAGGAGAACCAAGGCTGGTGACAGTCCCAAAGGCCTTGTGAACAGCCCTTGTGGAAGGGACAGAGAGAAACGGACAGGAGCGGCATGCTGGGAGCAAAACTGAGTTCTGGGGCCTAGGAGATCCATGGTGGGTCCCTCTGGGTCCCTTTGTCTGTCAAGCCTGAGGAGTTAGGGGCACAGTCCCAGAAGGACAATAACTTTGGGAATTGTCACTCTTGTCCACTTTCTATGTCTTTTCCCTCCCTCCAGCAGACATGCACCTGTGCTTGTGGCATCCAAATAGGCCTGGGCCTTCTATGGGGCTCTGGGGAGGAGGGAAGAAGGGAAAGTGTTCCAGGAGGCAGAATCCAACCCCATCAGCGGGATTCTAGGCAAGCAGGCTAGAAGGGTCTCTGAGCCAGGAACCTCTTTTCCAGGAGCTGGTTCCCTGGCCCATGCCTGCCAGCAACTTGGGCCCTGCTCAAGTTTCAGGTGTAGCTGAAGATCAACCCTGGCTCTGAGTCCCCCTGGCATCGGTCCCCTGGGATGCAATGGGAGCCCCGCCATCTCTGCCAGCTCTCACCTTGTAGACAGGGGGGCAGGGCCCTCTGGCATCGTCAGCGCTGGGGGGCTGAGGGCGGAGAGGACAGCTGCAGGCACTGGCGCCCATCCCCCATCGCTGACTTTCACCTGACCTTGGCCAAGTTCACCTGGGCCTCTGGTTCTTTTGATACCTGGAATGTTTCTGGGTTCGTTGTCTGTCAGCATGCTGCTATGGCTTCTTTAAAGAAGGCTTTGTCTGGGATCTGCCCTCCAGGGCATCGCCCCCATTCCTGTCCACACTGGCACACAATGGAGCCCTTGTACCCCCTGGACCAGGTGAACCACAGCTGAACTGGCAAGGGGTGGGGAGGGGGCACCCAGGCTGCCAAGGAGACCAGCCTGTGGCATTTGAGCCAGTCCAACTCATTTTTGGAGCACTGTCCGCCTGCCAAGTCTTGAGCCAGGAAGGGTCCAGGATGACAGAAGTGAGGCCAGGTGTCCTGCTTTCTGTCTTGCTCTCTGACATTCCCTGGTAGCTTTAATAACCAGGTGAATGCTAGCACAGAGAGGAGACCCCAAATCTAGCCAGGACAGGAAGGCTTCCCGGAAGAGCCAGCCTTGCCATTGGATTTTTTTTCTTGTGCCAGTACTGGTCCTTGAACTCAGAGCCTAGGCGCTGTCCCTGAGCTTTTGGTTTTGCTAAAGGCTAGCTAGCACTCTACCACTTGAGCCACAGCTCCACGTCCAGCTTTTTTGCTGGCTAACTGAAGCATCTCACAGACTCCTGGGAGAAAGAGTTAGAAAGAAAAGCCTGGGGGCTGGGAAAGTGGCTCAGTGGTAGAGCGCTTGCCTTGCATGCTCGAGGCCCTGGGTTCGATTCCTCAGCACCACATAAGAAAAAAGAAAAAAGCCGGAAGTGGCGCTGGGGCTCAAGTGGTAGAGCGCTAGCCTTGAGCTGAAGAGCAGAGGGACAGCGCCCAGGCCCAGAGTTCAGGCCCCACGACCGGACCCAAAAAGAAAGAAAGAAAGAAAAGCTGGGGTTTGCCCTCTCGTCCTCTCTTCCAGGCGACTCTGCAGTACAGATTTCTGATTCATAGGCACCATCAAAGGGCTCCCCGGAGTGCACGCCCCTGTGAGCGCAGGCCTGCCCACACCCTGGCCCCCCACACCCTCTCTCCGAAGCTTCCTGTGAATGTCAGCCTGTGTCTGCACACAGCACACACCCTGGGAACACTTGCAGAATAAAACTGCCTTTGAAGGGGAGCTGTGGGTGTGCCAGGCACTGTGCTAAGAGCCCCACACATGCCCTTTCTGAAACTTGGGAGTAGGCATTCTTATTATGGGTCAGGATTGTCGCCCAAGCTCTATGCAAAGTCCACAGTTAGACTGAACACAATTCAGTTCCGTGCAGAAGCTCCTTCATACCAGCTCACCCAAACCTGCTGCCTGAGAGAACCAGTGGACAGACTGCTGCCTAGCTGTTAGGGGTTGAATTGTGCCCCACCCGCACTCTCTCCCTAAGTTCATAGGCGGAAGTGCTAACCCCAGGTCCTTTGATTATGAGCTTCTTTGGAAATCCAATGCTAGGGGGGGTCATTAGCCACATAAGATGAAGATTCACCATGACCTCCCTGCTGCCACCCTGACTCCATACCTTGGACTGCCAGGACTGTGAGATACTGAACTTCTTTTCTTCGAGCCACCAGGCCCAAGGCTGACATTCAGGGCTTGCAAAGGAACACACCACCCAGCTAGGATCCCTGTCAGGAAATCTCTCCTTGTGCTGTGCCCCAGGGTACTGGCTAGAGGGCAGAAGGCAGGGCCAGGAGAGGGAAGACAGGGAGTTCTGCTTCTCGGAGCTTTCCCCGTTTGTGAAAGTCTGCACAAGCTTGCGTGGTGTATGTCTGCACACTTGCCTGGCAGGGGCTCACCTGCCTGGCCGCACCTGTGCACCTCTGTCCCAGGGACACCCTTCCCAGCTGTGATCCTGATGGACATCCCCCAGAGGGAAAAATGGCCTCTGGATGAAAATCAATCACCTAGATTCTTCTTCAGCTCCCAGGCTGGCAGTGAAGAACCCTGAGGGAGGCCAGCAGCACAAACGGGCCTTGGGGGCAACACTGCTGTATGACCTCAAGCCAAAAGCATCACTTCCTAGGCCTCAAGTTTGGCCCAGATAGAGATCAAGAAGGACAAGACCGTAGTCACCAGAAAGGAAGCCATGCCAACTCTGGGCTTGGACTGGCTCTGGCTTCACCCTAAGTCCAGGGAGCCAGGCTCACAGCAGAGTAAAATAAATGAAACCCTAGCCAAGCACCAGTAGCTCACACATGTAATTCTGGCTACTCAGGAGGCTAAGATGTGAGGATCGTGTTTCGAAGCCAGACTAAGCAGGAAGGCCCATGAGACTCTTATCTCCAATGAGGCATCTCCCCCTCAAGTGGCTCAAGTGGGAGAATACTAGCCTTGAGCAAAAAAGCCCAGGCCCTGAGTTCAAGCCTCAGGACCAGCAAACAAAATGCAGCATCTCCATGACACGGAATATTATTTAGCCATGAAAAGAGACAAAGTCCTACTACAAATTAAAATAGGAATCAACCTTGCAAACATTACAGTAAGGGGATGTTTTTACCTATGCTCAGTCCCACCCCCACTTTGTCCTGGGCAAGTGAGTAGAGTAGGCAGAGGCAGCTACAGTACCAGCCCTTGGCACTTGTCACCTACACCTTATTTACCTATTACAACAGCCTTGAATTTGTGGCTGCAGCTCACATCCTCTTTAATCCTCTCCTTTCCCGAGGAGGGTAGAAGTGCTTCACATTCTCCTTTAATGTGGAAACTGGGGTAGGTGGGGGAGCTCATGGGCATCCAGCCAGGACATGGCAGGGCTGTGTCCTCTGAAATCCATAGTTGAGCTGGGGCTCTGTTCTGATGCTCT